TTAAGTTCCTGTGATAGCCAAAGGCTTCTTTGCACACTATTTCCAAAAAACAAAATGAGCTCAGAGGCATGTGTAGTCTTAATTACCAGAATGTATTTATCCTGTGTCTTCCTGCTTCCTACGTTTAGCTATGACAAAACAAATAAAATAAACCCCATTCTTTTCTAAAGATGGCCACTTTCTCTAGGTACCATCTCCATGACATTTGGATTTACTTCTACGATGAGAAACTGTGAACTTGTTCTTTTCCCTTTATTTATTCATTTGTACACAAATCATTTCACAGGTAGTGGGCTTTTTTTTTAATTATAAAGCCTTTTTCAATGGGAGGTAAAAAATCACAGAGAACAACAGAAGACAAATGCAGACAACCATGTGGGAGACGTTACATAACTTTTGATGGTTGGAAGTGTTTACAACAGTACCTCTTAGAAGCTCTTCTAATATTATTAAACAGATAAATTGATGCTTTCAAAAATTTACACTAGGATGAAGAGGCTTTCTTTCAAACATGTTTTAACACTCCTTATGACTCTCTAAAAGAAAAGTTCAACATAATAGCAGAGCATGGCTGTTTACTTTTCTACATCTACCTGTGTCCTGGACAAGAGCAGTATTAAATAATCCAATAGCCAGTGATATATTTTTAGAGATGCTTAGTATTTGTAATAATCAAATTACTATGACACTGAAGTCAGCATCATATTGCAGGAATGCAAAAGGAATAATTTTAAAAGATGTACTTTGGTATGGCCTGCTATTTTTTAAGTGTCTAGGATAAGCACAAGGCTGAATATTCATGCTTTCAGTTTCTAAAATGCAGCAATTGATAGCAAACCTATTTGAGTATATTTACAACTGCAGAGGTTATTTGAAACATCTATCAAATTTTCATGTAGGTGTACACTATAGTTTATAGCTTAAACAAGGCCCCTCATTTAAGGATTGTGAAAATGTGAATGTGTGTCTTTTTTTATTGTCCTTTTCTGCCAGTCTGGGTTTCACTGCAATTTCATACTCAACCTTTACTGGAGTGGTTAACAGCAAACCTCACTGAACATATAGAAAATTAAATTTCAAACTTCATTTGGTTATTAGTGAGACACATCTGATACCAATATCTCACTTCAATAGCGTAAATAGAAAGCAATGCACTTCACTGGTTAGAATTGCATCAGTAATGCAGAGGTGTGAGATCAGATTTTGTAGATTGAATGGAGTTATCATATATTTGGATTTAGTCCACAAGTTTAAGGTACTTGCAAGAGGTATCCAGGGAAGGATCAGTTTGCATATGTGTATATTGATGTGTACAAATACAGAGAGTCATAGAATCCTTAAGGCTGGAAAAGAACTCCAACATCATAAATTCATCTATAAACCCAGCACTGCCATAATCACCATTAAAATATATCCCCAAATGCAACATTCATACGCTTTTTGAACACTTCCAGGGATGGTGACTCCACCACTTCCCTGGGCAGCCTGTTCCAATGCTGGACCACCTTTTCTGTGAAAATTTTTCCCTAATTTCCTATCTAAACTTCCCCTGGTGTAGCTTGAGGCCATTTCCTCTTGTCCTGTCACTTGTCACCTGGGAGAAGACACTGACTCCCACCTCACTACAACCTCCTTTCAGGTAGTGGTAGAGAGAGCTAAGGTTCCCCCTAAGCCTCATTTTCTCCAAGCTAAACAGCCCCAGCTCCCTCAGCTGCTCCTCATCAGACTTGTGCTCCAGACCCTTCACCATTTCCACTGCCCTTCTCTGGACATGCTCCAGCACCTCAATGTATTTCTTGTAGTGACGGGCCCAGAACTGAACCCAGGATTTGAGGTGTGGCCTCACCAGTGCTGAGTGCAGGGGGACAATCACTGCCCTGGATCTGTGGGCACACTACTGCTGATACAGGCCAGGATGTCATTGGCCTTCTTGGCCACCTGGGCACACTGCTGGATCATGTTCAGCCACTGCTGACCAACAGTTCCAGGTCCTTTTCTGCTGGGCAACTTTTCAGTCACTCTTCCCCCAGCCTGTAGCGCTGCCTGGGGTTGTTATGACTGAAGTGCAGGACCCGGCATTTGGCCTTGTTGAACCTCATACAATCGGCTATGGCCCAATGATCCAGCAATGACAGGAAGGAGCAAAGAAGATAGAGCCAGATTCTACTTTGAAAGGACAAGAGGTTTTGGACTCAAATTTCAACACAGAAAAAACTAATTTTTTTGTTTGTTTATTTTTCTTTTGTTCAGAGGGTGGTCCAGAGAGGTTGCGCAGCCTTCATTCTTGGAGGTACTCAAAACGTGACTTGACATGGTTATGAGCAACCTTTTCTTTATGACCCTGCCTCGAATACTGAGGTTGAACCAAACAAGTTCTTGAGGTGCCTTCATACTTCATCTATTCCCTGATTCTGTGAGATTTAATTTTACGCTAAAATACTATCCTCTTATTTGCTTGACTTTGATTCTAAAATCTGTAGATTATTAAGTGCCAAATTAGGAAAATATACCATTTAAATATAATTTACTACATATCCCTGTAATCAGAATTACTATTCAGAAACACTGCCTCTTGAGCTCATTTTTGTGCCGCGATTTGGTATGGGCAGAAAGTTGGATAGGAGTGAAATTATTCGTGATTAATTTATACCATTTATATGGCATGTTCTGAAAATGCTGTGAGAGATAGGCAGAGATTACATCAAATTGTTCTTACCTGCCTCAGGGCTGTTCTAACTCAGGATAAAAAATAAAACCCAGGCTGAAAGCAGAAACAGATAGGTATCTGAAATAAATGATGATATAATCTATTGCTCTCTTTGCTGCAAGGTTATCCCAGTGCCTATCAACATTCCTCAGAGATCCACAGTGTCTGTGTTTAAAAGCCACCAAGAGTTTCTAACTGAAAGACTTGTTAAAACTATTCCCTACTCGGACATCATCCAGGAACAGGCCTTTAATCTTGTCAGAAGTTTATGTCTAAATAAAAATTCTTAACTAAAATTTTAAAGGGTTTGACTGTGGTGAAGTACTTTTGTCCAGAGGGCTACTAACAGTCAGGGAATTTGGACTTTAGTTTGAAGACAAAAGGAAAACTGTTATAAAACTTTTCTTCCTTTTCCTGTTACCAAACCAACACCACAAAAAAAAAAAAAAAAAAAAAAAAAGGCGCAAGAAGCTGAACTACATTTGTACTAAGTGAAAAAAATTTAATGCAGCTGAATTTTCCAAGCAGTACCAGATCAGATTGATACCTTAGACTGCATAAATAAAACACCAAATGCTATTTTGTATTTACGCGGTCCTTTAAATATATGGGATACTAGGCCAAATATGATCTGAAAGTGAAATGAACACTGGAGAGCAGAACCAGTACAGGGTCCAGGTTTCTAATCAGCTTCTATTAAAATCAGAAGAGGCCCTTGATTTCTTTTTATATGTATCTATTGGTGCCAAATCCAGCCTAGGAATAAGAGACAATACAGATCATGTTCCATAGACTCCCACAGAGATCAAACCATCCTCTGAAGTCATGCACTGGAACTTAAAAGAAGTTTTTCACACACATGGGCTGTTGTGGTTGCCTCAAATTTCTGACATGCCAAAAGGGAGTAAGGTAAAGAGTATCACTTTTTACTGGATATCGGCTCGGGCTGTTATCGCAGATTCCTCTGAGGTACTGAGCCCAGGAACAGAGAAGGCCAACGTGTCTTGGAAACTGCACGCCTTGGAAACTGTATCTACTAATAAGTTGTATGTGCCTGAGGTCGTCCTCCTCAAGGATAACAGCCATGGGACAGCCCTCATTTGTCTCTTACTCTCCAAGTCAAGGTGGCCACGTGAATGGCAGGCGGCTTCTCCAGACCCTGGTTCATGCCCAGCAATGACCAGGCTGACAATTCAGCAATATGGTGATTGGATTTCAGGGTCTGAGAACACTTCTTAGCACTGTTTTCCATAATACAGGTGCAGTCTATATATCCTTTTTAAGGTCAAAGCTTCATCATTTTGATAGCAAGTAAGTTACAAATATAGAACTACAATTCTCTCTCTCCTTAGCATATGCTTATGTATGTGGGAATGGGATTTGAGATGTAAATAAATAGTAGGTTGCACACAACTGGAACTGTGATTTGGGCATTATAAAGTTATAAAGAAGAATGCACGTGAATATAAAACTTGAAAATGGAAGACAATATTAACAGGAGAAATAAAATGAAATACTTCTCTCTAGATCTCCTGTGAAAACTACAGTCATCTTGGAGAATCCTAACAGACCTCCTAGATCTATATTTCACCACATGAAGGGCAATTTCACCAGGTCCTTCAGTGCATGGTTACCCCAGAGCATGACTGTCTCTTCTAAACAGTGTTTCTTTATAACTATGGGTTTGTACTGCTAGCTTAACATCCCTTTGCTGGATGATTTGAACTAACAGAAGGAAACCAGAAACATAACCCAGAATTGTGTGCTTTGCTCAATTACAGACAAGGATGTTAAACCATAATAATGTTCCCCGCCAACAGTGAGATGTTCACATCCTAAAAAACCCAGCTGCATATACAGGTGTCTGCACCAGATGCTTCCCTAAGCACAATGTGATAAAAGTGATTATTCCTCACTCAACAGAGAACAGTCCCTAAGCAGGGTATTTAAAGAAGGATGATAATGCAGGTAATTAGGAGCCCCATGCTTTACACACAAAGCAATTTTTAAGAGGGTGAAGCTGAGAACCATCTGTCTTTACATGTGGGCCTATGTTTTTATCTGTGAATTCAACGATGAGCAGTTTTCAGTCTGATTTCTCAAGCAAGAGTCTACTTAGAAATTGGTTAAGGATAAATAACTTATCCCTAGTTTTAATAGGTAGTACCTTGCCCTTTGACTCCAATGGGAACATGGGCACCAGAATGTAATACCTAGCCAATGGATATTTCTATAAGGACTGAAGGAATACCCTGGTCTTGCCTCAAAGTATGTATATAGTGAGTTTTCCTACCTTTGGACTTTCTGTCATGGTAGCTTCTGCCTCGATAATGGTGGCCACTGTCTGTGTACAGATTCTCAAGATCTTCTTGCCAGGAGTCTGGGTTAAAGTGTTTGAGCAGATCCTCCACCGTGTCAAATGCAGCAATGGTTTGATCCAGTGCTTCTGCCGTGAGCGTAGAGTCAGTCACTGATGGAGAGGGATAGGATACCCCCTAAGAGTGACATATATCTCAGTGCACTTTGAAAAAATTACAGCACCACTTAAAACAATTGAACACAGTTACTGGGAAACTTGTTGAGTGAAACAGCTACTCCGGGCCATCTTTTGAAGTCTTTACCTGGGCCAGGCTTTGTTATACTTGTGTTTTCTTTTTCTAAGAAGAGACACCAAGGAACTCCCAAACAAGTCCCAGAGGAGATGCAGGGAGAAAAAGCATTGCCACTGGTGGGCTGTCAGCATTTACATCCAATTCTCAAAGGGGATGATGGTTTGCACATTTACAGAGATGTAATGAAAACGTCTTTTGAAACCATTGTGATGGCCGTGGCCATAGAATGGAGAGGCCAGCTCTGTTGATTATTTGATGAGATGCAGATCAGAAATCACAGTAGAGAAAGACAAAGACAAGTCCACTAGACTGTCTTTCCTTGGTCAACTTGGACAACAAATTTGGCTTGGTTGAAGACTTGAAAAAATGACCCTTTATTGCCCAAAATTAAATGTATTACAATATACTGATGAATTGACACTCAAGTGACATTTTTTACCAAAAAATACAACCTACTAAGCAAAGAGAAAAAAACATGATTTTTGGATCTTGGGGGTGCTGGTGGATGAGAGGCTGAACATGAATTCGCAACATGCATTTGCAGCCCAGAAAGCCAGTTGTATCCTGGGCTGCATCAAAAGCAGCGTGGCCAGCAGGGTTGAGGGAGGCGGGGAACCTGCCCATCTACTCTACTCTCCTGAGGTTCCACCTAGAATACTGCATCCAGCTCTACAGTCCCTAGCACAGGAAGAGCATCAACCTGTTGGAACAAGTTTGGAGAAGGGCTACCAAGATGATTAGAGGGATAAAGGAAAAGCTAAGAGAACTGGAATTGTTCAACCATTAGAAGGCATCAGGGTGACCTAATTTTGGTCTTCCAGTACCTGAAGGGACCTTACAAGAAAGACAGAGAGAGATTTTTTACAAGGGCATGTAGTGATACGACAAGGGGGAATGGCTTTAAAATGAAAGAGGGGAGGTTTAGGTTAGATAATAAGAAGAAATTCTTTGCTGTGAGGGTGGTGAGACACTGGAACAGGTTGCTGAGAGAGGCTGTTCATGCCCTGTCTCTGACAGTGTTCATGGTCAAGTGCGGGGGGCTGTGAGCAAGCTGAGCAGAGTGGGATGAAAACAGATGATGTTTAAGGTTCTTCCCAACCTAAGCTATTCTATACTTCTATGATTGCAGCAATGTAACAATGAATATTTGGATTACCAACATATTAATATCCTCACAATTGTATCAAATGAGATATTATTTCCCATTAATAAGGGCCAAACACCATTCTCTGAGTGTTCCCACCGAACCTGTGGTACAACTTCACTTTGACAGAAAGATTGTACTAATTTCAGTTTTACAGGAGAGGACTTCAAACATTTTTAAAAATCATTATTTAGAATCACAATATCTGCTATCCTGACATCACTTTTTTCCTTGGTCCAAGCAAAAAGTCAAATAGTATGCAAATATTATGTAAAATAAGTGCAAGAAAAACTATTAATGCAGATCTCTTAATTTTTGAAGGCCTACAATCACAATACATTATTTTGTCCATCAAGAAGCATAGTAGAGCACAAGAGTTGCTAAAACATCGGGGGAAAACCCTAGAAACCTCTTGTCTTATGAAAACCCAGCTCTGAAGTAATGGAGCAGAAATATGCCATTTAAAATTAATGGCTTCCCAAAATATTTTTTTTGCCTCATCTCCTAGTAAAGTTAAACTATTAATCTTTGTGATTAACTTCACTCAGTTGGGTAGTAATGGAAAGGTCAACTCATTTGAGTAATTTTAGTCATTTTTTTTGCAGGATTGTGTCCTTCAATTCCTATTATAATAGTTCTAAAGTATGTATGTCTTTTAAAATAAAACAGTTGTCTCTAACGGTAAGATATATCACAAAATTAACAATCCTTGATATTTTACTGTATTTATTTGCTGAAAGTATGGACAGTCCAAATTATCAAAAACCAGAATGAAAGAAATAGAAAGCACAGCAATAGTGGAGTCAAGAAAGCACAGCTGCGCTTTACGGCTTGCGACCAACAGTTCCTACTCAAGAAGTTTCAGAGGGCCCACTTGTGACTGCAATGCCTCTCTAGTGCTATGCTAAGTAAGACACAGTGCAGATGCCTATGAAAATTCATGTCCCCTTAAAAGGGAAGGCATACCTCAAAGCCTCTCTCCTGACTTCTAAGTGGTTTGGAACAGAGACTGCCAGAGAGATGGAAGTCCCAGGAGTTAAAATGCTCACACTAGTAAAGTGAACACAGCATTGTTATCTAAAGCAGTATTGCAGGAGAGATTATACAGTGGCCAGCATCATGCAGTGTGCTAACACAGCCTTTAGGGTTACAAAAAGAAAAGGCACCCAAATGCTACTTTCTTACTGAGCAGAGTTCAGTGGAGCTCACGGCAGCTCAACAGGGAAACGTCAGACCCTGACTGCCTTTCAAAAGAAGAGAAATGGTGCAAGGACACTGAAGAAACAGCATATAAAAATCAGGCCACAGGTGTGTGGCTTACTCAGTGCAAGCGGGCTTTTTTTTTTTTCACATGTGCAACTGTACATTTCATTACAGAAATGCAGGTCAGTGAACGTGCAAGGCATTTCAAACTCATACAGGCAGCTGGGATTCCCCATTTTCTTTTCATATAAAAGCTCCTACTCAAGAGATTTGTGCAACCTTGTTCAAACATAGAAGAAAGCTCAACTTTTTCTCAGTGACAGCCAAATAAAGAGGAATTATTTCAACAGCTCAGATAGCCTCCTGACAGCAACACCATGTGACAGGTCCAAAAGCAACTTCAAAGCTGTCAGCACAACTGCCTTTTTTTTTTTTTTTTTTTGTTCTGCCAAGAATGAGGCACTGGCTTTAGGAGAGTTTGTGCTCATTGTAATCTGCCTTCTGAGATCGCATCCAAAGAGGGAGCAAGAAGAAGAGTGAAATGTAAGAAGCAATGAAGAGCAAAGATTTTCCACATTTTGTACCTCTTTTTCATTTCTTAAAAGCACTGAATATATTTTTAATTTTATGAAACAAAAAGGTATCTTTTTTTTTTTTTTTGGTCAGTGCTCTTGCTCCAAATTTCTATTCCCCCATTCTTTTCTCTTTCCTATCTCTATTGTGAACCTGATAGGAAGTTCAATGTACATCACAGTTTTTTGTTGGACAAAAAAATACTTCAGAAATAACGGAAACTAAACTAATAAGGAGTGATTTTGTTTCCTTTTTATTTTTTCCCTGCATTTGCCATGATGGGTTAAGGGCAGAAGTATTTCTTTTAGCTTTCTGAGGAAAACAAAACAAAACAAAACAAAACAAAACAAAACAAAACCAAACAAAACATACCTCTGTAATATGATCTCAGACATGGAATTTGCTCTCTCTGAAATTTTCATTCTGAGAGTTGCAATGTGCCTAGATCCTAAAATGAGTCCTTGTGGATTTGAGAGAGCAATCTTAGATCTAACATTTTAATTGAGCATCAGCAGAATTGTATGTCATCAAGACTGACAGGTCTGAGTTTGTCCTTCTGCTCCTTAAGACCAGAGTAGAATCCCTGAATCATTCTCTCCTGAATAACTTGGGTGTTCTCAGACTTTTTCCTTGGTGCTTTTGTGACAAATTGCACAATCTCCCTACCTTATTTTCCCTGAGGATAAAAAGGACTTGTGGGTGTGATGCACACCCAGTTGAAGAAAATATGTTTTATGAGATAGGGAATGGTGTGGGAAAACCAGGAAAACTGAGGTTCTGCTTCTGGTTGAGCTGTAGGTTTCCTTGTGACCTTGGGCATCAGCTTGCTACCTTTAACATTTGTACTGTATTTCCCTACCTGCAACACATTAACAACAATTTTTCAGAAAAAAGATGTGGAAGATAAACTTAATTTTTTAATATGAAAAGGATACTGGATTTTGGTTTGTTATGTTGTTCATTTTATGATAAGAATGTTAACTAACATGGCGTGTACCATATCATCTCATTTTCATAGTCATCTGTTGAGGGAGCACTAGGCTTACATTTTCAAACAGCAGCCTACCATATTTTTAAACAAAATATTCCATCACATGGATTTTTTTTCCCCAAGCCCATAATAGAATGAAAAATGAGTTTATGTCTTTCAGTAAAATTGTTTTAGCATCTCCTACTTGGCACATCTAGTAGATCTCAGCCCTGCTAACATTACTACTCAAGACTTTCAGCACAATTAGTTCCAAGCAATCAATGTGTTGTATCATGAAGGACAAGTTTCATTTGCAAACTCAAGGGTAAACATAAGTGAGACTGGCTTAACAGCTTCTAATTTTGGCAGTACAGAATTTTCTCTCTACTCAGATTGGACAATAGAATTTACCCGGATTGGACAATAGAATTTACCCATATTTTCTTTACTGCTCCTTCACTGGCTACTCCTGGCAGCTATTGTAACAAAGGTGCTATCATTAAGCTCTCTTCTGTGAATGCTCCAAACATTGGTCTCAAATCTGCTTTTAGCATTTATCCCCACCTCGTGTTTTAAGAGGAGTTAACAAGAGCTTTGACATGGTGCTGCCCAGGCAGCAGAGTACACAGAAGAGGACTGCCCGTATTATGAATTCAGATGCTACACTGCCATTCCCAGGCATTGGGAAAGAGAGGACAGATTTTTTGTCAATGACACAAATCAAATACAATGAAGTTAAACCCAAAATTTTATACTGGATTACATGTTCTGACAGAATGAGTTTGAAAGCAAGAAACGTTTCCCAATGGATATCTCACGTGATTACAAAAGTTGATGGCATATCCTGAATCTTTTATCTTGAAAAACATACTGATTGACTCCAGTATGAGTTGGATAAACACCTATTTCATTATATTCCAAAAGTGAATACATGGTTTTTCCATGCAGGTGCCATTTTTGTGAGTTGGATTCAAGCCATCCTATCAAGCCATCCATGCGCAAAATAGTGAAAAATTACTTACTGAGACAGAGCTTGTGACTGACTCCCAATTGGTTTCTGAGGCTGCATGCTGGAAATCATCCTAAGGGGAAAAACCCACAGGAAAAATCACTGTTAAGGCAATATAGGAAAGTAACTACAGAACCTAGGAAATATTTCAGCATTCAACATCTGTTACTTTTTCTAACACTCTTTACTGCAAGAGTCCTTTGCCATGTGTCATTCCTAAATAATGCTATTTCCATTAAGGTTCCTCCCTTTTCATTGTTTATAAACTAGCTCCTTGCAAGCTTGCTGGGACAAGAATAGGTGGTATAATAATAATAATAATAACACTAATAATACCACCACCAATACGATAATTGCTGCTTTGCATAAAAGGACCCAATGTGGTACAGGACATTACATTTATCTTCCAAAATTAATATTAAACACCATCTCTGTATGCCTACAATCAGAGTATTAAGGCAGTTGCCAGACTGTTCTGTTCTGGAAAGATTGTGGACATGCCAATACACTGGTACTACTTAGTCAAGGTGAAAAGCAGGGTAATCTAATCCATTTGAGAAGTAGTCCGAAAATGACTCTATTGGTTTTGGTGCTTGAGCTAAACACGACTTGCTCATCTGTGCAGGAATGGCACTATCTTATTTACACCAAAAAAACACAGCCACAGTACATTCACAATAGAAGTGTCACTGCACCAAACCTCTGGGCATTTACAATTCATTTGAGCACAGGGATGGGTTTCATCTTATCTACCTTTGGACATCTATAAAGCCAACATCTAAGTGAGTTGTTCTTGTTTCCATTTACAGTAAACTAAACCTGGCATTTTCAGGGTGAAAATCATCTGATAAACTGTTTTAGAAGCTTAATTTGGGATGACATTATATCCCAAAAATGCATTTTTGTCTCTATAAAGGGGACCTGGGGGGATGAGCTTAGATATAGATGTCAAGACAGTAGATATTGACATCTGGTCACCTAAATCCAATCCACTTGTCTGACCAGGGATGAGAAATCACTACTAAAATAATGAAGAAGCCATTTCTTTAATGTTTTGGCAGTTTTACACATTTCCAACTGGAATACTAAACCATGAAAAATGGGAAAAAAGGCAGCGTTACAGAATGGTTATTAAACACACACATGCAGTGAATAGCTAATGATCAACATGATTATGCAGGTAAGGAAAGTGGACTGAAGAGACAGCATACCAAGATTTTAATTTCTAACAATCAAATTTATAACGAAAAGATTTAAAGAAGAGGGATCAATGCCTGGGCTCACAATTTTGTCTTAACCAGGTATCTGTTAAGCTTTTTTTTTTTTAGCTGGTAACTGAAGGGGAAAATGGAAGGGTAGCTGTTCAACTGATGCTCACTAGACTTGATCCTGTATTGGACCATACATATATGCATATATTAAATTATTTCTTAGTAATGGAAAACAGAAAATTGATCTCAGAATCTGCTAATTCATCACTAAAATGTTCCTTTACTCAAGAAGAAACTGTTTTCAGATCCAGAATCAATACACATAGCTTTTTAATGTTTTTCATTTGCTATTAAAAAAAAATTCAAATGTCTCAAAAGTCACAAGATTGTGTATTCAATATTGCTAGTGTTTTTATTTAAAATGTTCCTTTTTCTCAAATCTGAAACAACAAAACTAGTGATTTCTTTAGTACTTAAGATCAGTAGAAATTATGAAACCCCATCACTAATTGACCTCTGAAACTGCAGGGCTGTTAAAAGGCTAATAATTAAGTGGTCATTTTCTTCTAAGAATACAGAAGCAAAATATTTTTGGTACATTATTTCAAAGCAGATTTTTTTTTCTTAAAAACAATAAAGAGATCTGCAAATGGTATTATCAGGTCATAAATAATTCTGGATGTGGCTACCTTGGCAACATTCTCTACACATTTGGTTACCCAGTTCTTGACAAGCCACGACTTAAATTAAATAAAAATGGATTTGAAAAGCTCATGAATCCTCTGGTAACGGCTGCTAGTTGCAAAATTTGGAAATAATTTCCTCTCAGTCATTAGCTTCCATTTAGCACTTCCATAAAAAAGAAAAAAAAAAAAGTAGCATTGAGTTCTGAGGCATTATTTTAAAACAGGAGCAATTTGTCTCATTGAATGTTTGGAGAAGATTGTAGACAACAAGTAATTTTGTGTTCAAAGTGATGGTCCCATTGTGTTATCTAACTATAGATATCAAAAATGTTTCTTTAGTCTGATTCTTTGAGTTGTTTGATGCCAGGAAACCCCTCCAAAATCCTGAGATAGACATGTGTACCACCTGCTTCTTGGATCTCAAACCTTATGACTGCACATTTTGACTCTGTGATTATATTCGATCTGCATAAACTATTCAAAACCCTATGGCTTTTTTCCACCATCACTCAAGGCAGCTGCAGACATTCTTGGCTTCTTGGAGCTTTCAACCTCTACAGTTTGAAGATTATTATTATCTATGGCTTCTGCTTGCAGCTATTTCAAGTAATGATATTAAAGTAGTTCTCATCATTACAAAATTCTCTACTCTTTTCTCACCATTGTCCATAGCAGAACCTGAAGGACAAATCTATTTTCAGTGCTATCTATTCAATTTATACTACCTTGTTTATGAGAATTTGCCTATGATCACTTCGGCCGCTGTTTTCTTCATTACTTAAAATAATACTAAAATTTTTAGTTAAAACATTAAAAAAAACCCCAAAAAACCCCAACCCCCAAAAAACATAATCCTCACATCATTTCTAACTGAATGTTGGAAAAACAGGGTAGTAATAATTTGGCTACATCACCCTGACAACAGTACTTCTATTCTCATATGTGTTATGGTAACGTAACAGTGCTACGTGAGACTTCAACAAAGCATTGCATTAACTACTCTATTCTACAAGCAGCAAAATTACAGGCAAAACAACAGGACTACCCATCACCTTCTGATGGTGGCTACTTTACTGAAGAAAAATGACTTATAAACCTCAACTTCCAAAATTACACTTCAGCAAGACAAATACTGAGTCAGTCCTTAGAGTTAAATATGTATGGACACTGATATACTGCTCTTGGCTCTGCTGCAGACAAAGAAAAGCTACTCTCTCCTTCTTAGACTGACTTTTTCTATAGCCTGTCTCCCCCCATTGATCACCAATAAGTGACAAGGAATCACACGGAATACTCTGTTTCACCTAGACCTTTCACAAGTGGAGATCATGAAGCAAAATCACAGCTATCGATATATGAGACTGCAGACCCAGATAGCCCTGGTTGCTGAGGAAGATGATTTGCAGCCTGGAGGTCCATGACCTGCAGCAGCACAAACTCTGCTTGGTGGGAGCTGTAAGAACTGGAAGTCATCAGGAAAACACCAGGGATGAGGATGGGAAGCTTGCCAGTTTGAGAAGCATGTTGTCCATTTGCTGTACCACCCATGTGGCAAAACATGTGTCCTTCCAGCCATGCTGAATTACTGCCTCATTCTCAAACTAAAAGCAAGAAACACTTTCTCACACTTCTGTGATTCTTCATTTTTCACACAGTTTATGATTATAGACCAGTCTTTTGCCATCTTGGTGTGTGACGTCTATGAGGCAGGATGCACAGGATATTCAATAACTGCCACAGGATGGGCATAGCACACTGGCAGCTCTCTCCAGTGGAAAGAAGCAGCCCCATATTTCTAAAAACTTCTTTCTAAATTCCTTCTCTTAATCTGCAGGTCTGTGGGGCGGTTGGACTAGGTTTGGTAAAAGACTGTTTATCTGACAAAACAACTATAAACTACGGCTAATGAAAGCTGAGGTGATACTCTCCACTTCAAGAAGTGGGAAAGGTTCTGAAGGAGTTGTGACTAAGCATCCCTGATCCTAAGAAAGCATCCTTGACTGATGCTTGGGGCCTACTGGTTCAAGAAGGTCCTCTCCTGAAGGAGCAGCCTTCTCTACTGTGACCTTCTACTCAGACAGGGGGGAAGGGCAAAAATGAAGCCATGTTCTTGGGGCAAGTAAACATGAGAAAGAGGAAGAATGAAGTAAACTAAGGAAAAATTAAGACAGTGAAGCTGAAGAGTTGGGCTCTGTCTGTGGTCACCCCATTTGTGGTATTTAGATATCATAAACTATCTACGAGAGAAGCAGTTTCTAGAAATCTGCAGAGGAACAGAGTTAACGGATGAACTGAGGCACACAGCAGATCCTGAAAAACCAAACCAGGGGTGAAATGCAGCACATTCAAAATGGTCCAGCACAGAAACAAAAAGCTGTGAACTCTCCATGGAATATAAGAATTAGAGAACAAGGACAATGGAAGGTCTGTACAGAAAAACTGGGGTAAAGTACAACTTGAAGAAAAAAGAAGAAAAATTATCCTACTGTTTAGATTAATAAAAGGAAACTTAATCATAGCTATTTTTGAAAAATGGTCAACAGGCATCTATTACATTCAGAGCTATTTGCAAACAGGTAGCTGATAAACTTGTATTTGTCAGTAATAATAACAAATCATAATAATCTGGAAATATTTCTTTTTTCTTCCTGCAACAATAGTACCAATATTTTCTCTAAGAATTGAGTTTATAGGTATTACATTTTATATAAAAAGCAGATTTTTTATATAAAAAAAAGATATTTCAGGCAAATAAGCCCCCAAGTCAGAACCTGGTTTATAACAGAAATGGTGTTAGGTAAGTTAGAAGTAAAATAAAAGTCTGATGTAACTTGACCTTGTCTCTCCAGACAATAACCTAAAGTCAGCTTCAAAGGGCAATGTCAACAAATATCATTAAGCTCTTTTATTTGGCAGTGCAAGCATTAACAAATTCAGGTAGCTGTAATCTGAAGGCAGTAATATGCAAACTGGAAGTATGAGCAGATTTTCTCACTGATGGCAACTATTACTGAAACAGATAAGAAATTAACAAATATCTTTAATTGTATTAAATTTTCTTTTCTATTTTTTGATGTAGTCCCATAAAAACAGGCCATCCATGACAACAGCATTTTAAAGTCAGTAACAAAAGGTCAGACAGCCACCAAAGTGTCTGATCCCAAATGTGATAGCAT